GAATTCATCAGTGGTGCAGCAATTTTTCTGGATAATCTGGTGAACAGAGCATCTTGTTGATGAATATCTGTGTGTCTTCATCATAAGTCAACCCTGTGTCTTGCTGCAGAACCCTGGTAACTGTGTGGGTGTGCAGGAACTCATGGGACAACTGCCCTCCAGTTCTCCTGAGATTTGCCCCTTGTGCCTCCAGGTACTTATTGAGCTGGGAATTATGTGTGGAACTTCTTGAGCAACATTTGGCCTATTGGTAGAAAAGAATCTGGAAGAATCCCTGTTGTGAGAGCTAACCAGCAGCAAACAGTTTGGATGCTAATTAAGTAAAGGACATTAATCTCAGTAAAGTTTTAGCAATATATGTAACAGAGTTTGAACACACAGGGGAAATGCTGAGAAGTCTGAGCTGCATCTCAGGTAAATATTCTGCTGTGGAAATGGATTTGATTTCCTTCTAATTATCTCCTAGATTAAAATAAATGAAGCATCTAAATGAAAGTGAGTTTTAGAAGTCATCCTGAAGTACTTCATTACCAGGAAAGATTAATAGCTTGGAATATTTTCAGTTCAATTTTTCCTCATCTTCATGGAGTTTTGATATGTTTTTTCCTCATTCTTTTCATGAGGTGTATAACACTGAAATAAAAGTTAAATGAAGTGAGATCAGTTTATCCTTCCATAGATGTCTCTTGATTTTTCCAACACAATTCCAGCCTTTTCGTGGGCCGATTATTAGTAATTATCTTGGCACTGTAATTAGTGATTGAAAATCTGCAGTGATAGAAGTTCAAATCAATGCACTTGATTACATATGTGTAATATGTTGCATATATTAACTGATGCAATATCCTTGGTGGTGTTGTTCCACAGTAGAACTGATCTTGTCTGACTTTTAGGTCTTTGTCCTGGCCACTGATGCACTGAGCTTCATATTTTGTGCATGTAACGGGTTGAAACAGAACTTTAAACTCATCCTAAGATGGTTCCTTTTTTTAATAGAGGAAATATCTTTTATTGTAGAGACGAGGGAAGGATTTATGTTGTTCTGTGATGCAAAGAGCTAAGGAATTAGAATAGAATAAGAAGTGATGAAGGAACATATGAGGCTTTTGTGAAGGCTGAGCAGGGTGGAACTGCACAGCCCCAGCATTTTCTTGGTGTTATGCAATCCCTGCTGAAGAAGTCCCATCTATCTTGTGTGTAGAAGACTTGTTCTGCATTCCAAGGTTGTGGAGGCAGCAAGTATCCTTATGAAGACCACTGTTCTGCTCTGCCACATTGATTTCCTTGCTCCTTCCCAATCCTCTATGCTAGCACAGTTGTAGCTAAGCCTGAGGACAGCAGATCCCAAGTCACTGCTGGCAGAGAGCTGTGGGCCATGTCCTGCTCCCCAGGGGGAGGATGGATGGCAGTGGCCTGGAGCCTTGCGCGAGGAGACTCTGAGCACAGCTCTGTGGGTTGCTGTGTCAGGATCTTCTCGAGCTCTAACCCAGAGCTCTGGCCAAGCAGAGCCTTTCTGAAGTTTAGGCAGCTAATCAGTTACATGTTTTGTGGTTTATTTTACAGTTTTGCTCTTCTTTATGATATTTTAATTCATTTTTCCCCCCTTCCAGTGGAATTTTGCAGAGGCTAAAATGTAGAGCTTCTTTTTGCTTCCAAGACTGGTCCTATTTTCCTTAGGTATTTGGAGTGTGGAACTCCAGTTTCACTCATCATTGAGAAATCAAAGCGTTTACTAAAACACCACAGAAGGTACTAACTCTTTGCTTTTGTTTGTGTGGCAGTGCTGTTCTCTTGGGTTTTAAGGCTTGAGTAGATCATTGCAATCATCCAGGCTGATGACATGCTGGAGCAAACACAGTAATTTGTGTGATTGAAACTTGTCTAAAGCTTGTACAGTATGAAATTTGCTCAGGGTTTCCTCGTGCAGCAGAGGTGCTGTCACAGCCTGCTGGAGGTGGGGGAAGGCTTTAGCTATAGGAAATGTGCCCCATTAAAGGAATGGTCTAATGACACTGAGCAACATTTAAAGTAAATCAACGTTACTTATGTAAACAGCAGTTTAATTAAGATAATCACTGATGCAAATCATTGTGTGTGTTGTGCCTCCAACAGAAAATCCGTTCCAAAAGGCTTTGCAAACTTCTATTTTTCTATGCCTCATTTGGAACCTTTATGGTAGCAAAAGGTTTTAGTTTCAGTGTTTAATTATTAGCAATTTATTCTGCTTCAAATTGCATTAGGTTTGAGGAGCAAAAAAAGGAGTCTGAGCCCAAATGTAAGTGCTGTGGACTCTCCCTGGGATGTCAGATGTTTGACTGCTGGTGTAGTGGCAAGCTGTGAGGAGCATTTGGAGCAGGACTGCTCTGAACGTTTCAGGAGGATCATTTATATCATCTCATCAATGCTAATGACCCACTTTCCTGTCCTGTCAGAAATATTTATTCCCTGGTTAATTAATGCTAATTAATCCAGCAGTAATAAGGACTTCTTTGTATTTTGGTTGCTCTTGTTTACTCTGTGTCCTAGTATGATCCCTTGCATTTCCATGCCTAGCTTCTTACATATTTTAAGACAGAACATAAGCATTTTATTCTTTTGATAAAGAAATCATAGCACTGTGGCATGTGTGTCATTAGAAATATGAGATGCTCATGGAATGAAATCTGCTTTTTCCTTGCTCGAGATGATGAAGGTGCAGCCCCCTAAGTAATATAATGACTTTTATTCAGCTCTGAAATAGCCATTGACAGAAGAAAGAATTGAAACACTTTGGAAATGAAATGTAATTTAATCTGTGGCTGTTACAAAAACAATCAATTCTTTGTGCCCTCCAAACTGAGTGCTTTTGGTTTATTACCTATTACGCTCTTGCTGTTTCATTGCTAGTTTATCTTTCCTTGGGTGCTATTCTCTGAACATGCCACTGCAGTGCTTTTTTCTATTTGAAATCAGCCTTGAAATTTATTTGTGAGGTTCTGATTTTTTTTCCTTCTTCTTCTTTTTAAAATATGTCAGGTACAATTCTCTTCTCTGCATTCTGTAGCTCTAGCAAATGTCAAATATGATTAACTAATTTCCTGAGCAGGAGGAACCCCAATGTGGTCGCTCACAAGTTTTTGCAAGATCAGCACGTAAACACTGGCTAATGTCACTGTGTTCTGAGAGACCCTGTAAATATTAATGTCTGTCAGACTGACTTTTTATTCTCTTCTTTTTGAGTTCTGGAGTTAGGAAGAAATTCAGTCAAGGGTTTTGTAGAACTTACTACACAAAAGATCTTCTTCTTTTTTTGACCAAAACAAGATGGTTCATTTTTTCCACAGGGTGGATTACACAACTTTCTCACTTGAAATGATTTCTTTCTCTGATAGAGGACAAAGCTAATAGTTTTTGGGAGGAGAATGTAAGGAAAACATGAACTAATGTCTGGCCATTCTGCCTTCAATGTGTATATTTTAAAGTGGCTTCTTTAGGAGATGTCACCTGCTGTGCTAGTGACCAAAGGGTCTAATCTTGTCACACTTACAAGAGGAATGTGTGTCCTTCTTTAAACAGGACTTGCAGTAATGTGTCTCTTTTGTATGCACCAAAGACATTTTCCAAATCCTAGTGCTATTCTTAATTTCTTGATATTGAGAAGCAATTTTGTACTTCCTTAAAGAAGGAAGAAAGGAGGTCAGGAAATTACCTGTTCAGCTGTGTTCCATTTATTTTCCAGATATTTTTATTCGGTTTCATAACCTCCCCTGATGTTTGTGTCATGTTTAATGGAAATATGAAAACACACTGTGCAGAGATGCCTCG